TTTCGATGGAAAATTTTAGAATTAATTTTTTAGATGTTTTTAAATTCAAATTATTCAAAATTCAATTAATTTTGAATTCAAATTTTTGAGAATAATTAAATTTTATTTGATTTTAAATTTGGAAAATATTTGAATTTCAGTTCATTTTGAATTGAAAATTTTGGGAAATAATTGAGTTTTAATTGAAATTTTGGATAATAATTTAATTTAAGTTCATTTTTGATTGAAAATTTGGATAATTAATTTTGAATATAAATTTTAGAAAATAATTGAATTTTATTTCATTTTAAATTAAAAACTTGGTAAATAATTAAATTTTATATTGAAAATTTTGGATAATTATTGGATTTGTAATTGATTTTCAATTAAAATTTCGGGTAATAATTGAATTTTAGTTTATTTTGAATTGAAATTTTTAAAAAATAATTCAATTTTATTGTGATATATTTTTTTAAATTATAAACAATTGTTAAATTTCATACAAATTTTAATTGAAAAATAATTTTGATATAATTGAATTTGTGATGTATTTAATTAAAATTATTAAAAATAATTAATTTAGTGAAGAATCATTTTAATTCAAAATTTGTTAAATAATTGAATTGAAGAAGATCTACATTTTATACTAAAAAAATGTATTTTATTTACATTTTCTTTTCAAATGTAAAAAAAATGTCGCATTTTATTAAAATAAGTCGATAAAAGTCGTATTTTTGAAAAAAGTCGGAAAAATTCGTATAATCCGAGGCCTGTAAACATATAATTTTCATTATTATCATTTAATATGTAATAATATTCTAATAAATTAAATTATTATTGATAATATTAATCTTTAATTTCTTTATAATAAACAATTAAATACTCAATTTGGCGCGCGTTTAATTTTGCCCAGTATTTATATTAAAATATATTAAAATTCTAAGAATTTTATAAATTTTAATGCGTTTCCATTTTTTTTTCAAACAAGGAAAACTAAAAATTAAAAATTAAAAATTCAGTCATTTTGGTGGGGAAAATTTCTGAGACAAATTTTATGGTCCCAGCTGAAAAGTGGGGGAAGATTGGAATGCCTTCTTCTGACCATCAGAATAAGGCAGGTAAGTGGGGGTAAGAAGTCCTAATGGGTCCTATAGGTAGTCCCATAGTCCTTGAAAGGATCCTGGAATAGTGAACATATTTTTGACTAGCATTCTCTAAGTAACTCTCGTCCAAGTCGGTTGAACTCTCTTCCGATTCTCTCTCTAAATTTGAATTGATGAGAATTCGTTCACCAATTTAAATTAGTAGAAATTTTCACTAATTTTTTTTTAAATAAAATATTACGATTTGATTTAGTAATATATTTTTTTTTTACTAAAATTTTAGTGAAAAATGACTAAAAAATTAGTAGAAATTTTTATTAATTTAAATAAGTGAAGGAATTTTTATTAATTCAAATTTAGAGAGCAGTGCAAAGTGTTTCATTTAAAGTGACTTTTATTTTTAATATAATTTAATAGTGTTGATGTAATTATTTTAAATTTTAGTTAAATGAAATTTTAAAATTGTTAAATGTACTTTTTCTCATCTTTTTTTTTAAACACAATTTAATTTTTATTTATTTATTCATGTGATTTCAAAGTGAGTGTACGAATCGTCCTCATCGAGACCTGTAAAATATTCCCAATTCGATCATTTCGAGATTTATGCTAAGTATTAATTATCAATATTTTTATTCTGTATTATTTTTACTGTCTTTAAATATTTTGTATTTATATTAAACTAATTTTTATTTCGAAATATAATTTTCAAATTATAGAAACTTAAAAAATGGTAAATTGTTTAAATTGTAAATTTTCATTACAATTTCTTGGAATTTTGAAATAATTCATAAACAAAATTTTTTTCTGTACGTTTTAAAAGTGGCAAAAATTTAAAAATATTTCGCAATACTAGAAAACGAAATATTTAGAATAAAATTTTTAACGTAATATAAAATTTAAAATTTTAATTCTTACACGTAAAAAAATCTTTACCTAGATCAGCGATATGTTTCACTAAAATAGCGAAAGTTTTAGCTATTCTAGAGAAATATATCGCTGTTCCAGAGAAAATTATTGCTCTTTTAGGTGAAGATTTTTTTGTGTATAGGGATTCTGAAAATTTGCCCACAGTTAATAGATAGATAAAGGAAGATTTTCGCAAAATTTGAAAAAAATTGATATAGAAAATCGAATTTAAAAAAAAAAATAGTAGACAGAGAATGTTCTTAATATGTTTAAACCAGGGTTAAAAAATCAAAAATTATCCTTAAAGTTGTGATTGGTTACTTTTAAAAATTGCACCGAAATTTTTCTGTCGATTATTTGCAAATTTTTGTCATATAAAAATTCTATCAAATAATAATTCTATTAAATGAAAATTGATCTAAAAGAATAAAATGAAAATTCTAAGCAATTCTACCTAATAAAAATTCATTAAAATGGCTACTATGTTAAATTAAAAATTCGAAGAAATTAATATTTTATGAAATTAATTTTTGATTAAATAAAAATTCCATAATATAGAAAATCAATTTAGAGAAAATTCTGCAAAATACATACATTCGAACAAATAAAATTCGGCTCAATGAAAATTATATTTTAAAATTTTCAAATGCAAACTTACTGAAATTAAAATTTTCAAAATGAAAAACTAAAAAAATAAATTTTTTTTAGAAAAGAAATTATTTAAAACTAATAATAAAATTTAAAAAAAAATAAGAAAATGTATTTTAAGTTTAAAATTTTTTCTTTTGAACTTAGAAACATTTTCAGTTTCAAAAAATTACATAAAATAACAATATATTCAATTAATTCTTAAAATTGAACAATTGTTATATAAAACACTAGAATATTTTCTAGAATTTATGTAAATAAATTATTCAGAATTATTCTTATGAAATTCTACAAAGTTTTCAACATTTTTTTATATTTCTAGAAACTGCAAATTTTTCCATGTTGAAAAATGTTTTTTATGATGAAAATTTTTTTTTTGTAAAATATGTATAACGAAATTTTTTTTAAAAATTTCAATTTTGGAAAAAAGGTCTAGCTGTCTTTGAATTTGAAAAAATTTCAGTTTTTCTAATATGAAAATTTTTATTTTTTAACATTAAACAAATATTAAGTTTTTTCAAATATAAAAATATTTTTTAAACTTTGAAAAAAGTTTTTCAGTTTTAAAAATTACAAATTTAAAAATTAATTAGAAAATTTAATTTTTAATTACGTGGATTTGTTTAAATACATCTTTTTTTTTGCCAGGAAAAATTTGTAAAATAAACGTCCTTAAAATTGTCAGAGAGGAATTTCTTTTGACCTCGAAAATTTTCGAAAAAAGTATGCTCTACACGGGAATTCACTGTATTTAAAAATTCACATTAGAGAAATAATATTTAAAGTTATTAATGTAAATTAAAAAAAAAAATAATAAATTTGATAATTTTTAATATTTATTAAATAATTGTCTCGTATTTGAATAATTTTTTTCTTAATAAGTACTACTTGAAATATGTACATTTCCAGTTAGGTACATAAATGCACAATTTGGATCCAGTTTTTTAGCTTTTTCTCAGTTTTTTCAATAAAATTTCCAAACCTTTGTCTTTTATTTGTTTTTTAAGCAAAATAAAAATTTTTAAAAATTAAAAAAATTTTTTTTTTTTGAATAAAATTGTTTAGTGCTTTTATTTTAGTAAAGTGAAAAAGTAAAAATTAGTAAAAATCAAAAACACTTATTTTATATCAGAAACGTTTATCTTAATTAAATATATTGTAATTTTTGTTGAAAATCAAAAATGATTTCTTCCATTAAAAAAATCGAAATTTATATAATTGATAAACTATAGAGGTAAAATTAATATAATGTAGTCAAAATCTAAATCGAAAAGTAATGAAAAGTAAGGTGAGAAAAATGTCCGACAAGTGGAGGCTACAGCGCACAGGTCGCTTGGAACAACTAAATATTTAGCTGTGAGATTTGAAAAGTGAATTCTAAAATTAAAATTAGATTAATTCTAATATTATTAGAATAGCTTAGTAATTAATCAGAATGGCGGATATTGGTGTGCCGAAGCTAAATACATTTTTTTTCAAAAGGCTCTCTAGACTCGAAACTTTTTTGTGGGGACAGAGGGGGCGAACTCTTCAAAAATGAGTCGGCCTCTCAAGAAACCAAATCTTCTTTGTTTCGCTCAGAATAATGGAGATTAAAAAAGTTCTCGAAAAGAAAAGAGATAGTTTAGAATTTGACCACAAAAAGAAAATTGCCTCTTAATTAAAACAAATTTTTTTTAAAATAATAAAATTTATTTTTTATTTTATTTATTTAAAATAATAACCATATTTTCATTTTTCGTCTTACTTTAATTAACACGATAGAAAGAGAAATAAAAACCAAAATTTCTGACGTTGGTAAAAGTCACTTCAATTCCAATTTCACAAAAATATATATAAATATTTTTGATTAAGAATAAATTGTCTCAAGCATCATTTTTTAGATAGCTGTACATATTTTTATGCAATAAGTGTTTCTGATTTTGAGAATCAGAAATAAAAACAAAAAATATTATTAAATATTTAAATGTATAATTATTTTAAAATTTAATAAATTTCAAAATTAAAACAATTTACTATTTAGCCTAAAAATTCTGAGAGCTAAATTTCCTGAACCAAATTGTCAGAAATGTACTGCTGGAGTCATAAAGTAACCATTGAAATTTAGCAAATAAAATAAAAAAAATAGAATAATAATTAAAGTGGATACTAATTTTTGTAATTTTCAATATTTGTATTTTACAAAAACATACATATACAAAAATGATAAATCAATGCGTATTCACAAAATAATCACAAAAGTTTAAACGAAAAACCTTAATTTAACCATACATTAAACTTCCAAATGAACAGATAGACATAATTGTTTAACTGCAATTTTTCTTTTAAATAATTATTTTTCGTAAATTACTAGAATACCACACACAAGAATTAACAAACAAAAAAAAAAAAATTAAATCCTGCAAAAAAGGTACAAAAAATATTCAATTATTGCGATATTTTTAAAGATTCAAAATCTGTAATATATTCTCTCTTTCCGGTGAATCTTCTTTTTCTATAAAGTTCAAAGAATTTCTTAAATTATCACGTGTTTTTTTTTCTTCCCTTTTGTCGAGTAAATGCATTGTCCTCTTTAAAAATTGTGGCAAATCACAAGTACCGGTTTGTACATTTTGGGGATAATTTTTTTCAATATGTTCAATTTTAATAAATTTAAAATCATCATTAGAATGTGATACAATTTTTTTTCTTTCAGTTCTAAATGTTTCCTTATAATTTGATTGTACTTTATTAGGTGGCGGACATGCGCGAGGTAGATGGCAAACATTCATGATTTTTTTCGTCAATTCCTGTGCTTTAAGTTGATTTTTTTTATAAGTAATTTCGTAAATGTCACCTGATTCAATCGAAGTGGGATTGTCATTTGATAGATCTTCACTTGATATAAAACTTTCAATAGCTTCTGAATTATTTAAATTTGATATAGAATTTATTACCGGCTCTTCGAAATTAAAGTTTAAATTGCAAATTATCGATGGACTGTAGCCAAGTTGAATAAGACATTTCTTGTAATAAGTGAAAGAAAAATTTCTGTCATCTTGACAAGGCATGTTTCCTTTTATGGCATAGTCTTTTTCTCGCAGCCAATCGTTAATGTTAACATCATCTTCCCCTCTAGTATCAATCAGATTGACTGACATTGAATTTTCCTAAAATTTGCAAATAAATTTATTCTTTTACAATCGTTTTTCGTTGAAGAAATTTTTATTAATTGTTAAAATTAAAAGATTAAAATTTTTATTTATTAAAAATAAATTCATCGAAATTCCATTTAGAATTATTTTAAACAAAAATGAATGTTAAATTATACAATTTGGACAATAATAATAATAATAATAATTTTTACCTCGACATTTTTTGTGACAACTTCCGCACAAAGGGGATATTTTGTTTTTGAGATAAATTCGGCAATAATATTTTTCTTCCATTCTTTGTTTATTGGTTTTACATTATTTAAACTGCAGAGTATTGCTTGTGCAGGCAAATACGCAAAACGGTGATTTAAAAAATATAATTCTTGAGGATAATAATTTTCTATTGTTCCGTAGTCGTAGAAAAATACCTGGAAAATTTTTTTTTCCTAAATCAATAAAAATTAAACAATTTCTCTAATTTTATTAATTATATTCAATTTAATTAAAAGAAGAAATTTTTTTGTTTATAAACTTGTCAATTGCATAGTAATTTGTAAATTTAAATTATTTTTTATAACAATTAAAAAAAAGATTCAATTTAAAAAAAATTTTAAATCGATTTATCAATTTTCTAATTTTTTAAGTTTTATAAAAATTTTTAAATTTCTACGTTTTAGATTTTTCTAAAAAAAATTGTTTAAACTTAAAAAAAAACTAAACTAAAAATAAAAAATTATTTGCATTTATCGAAACTTACGTAAGAATGTCCGTCCGGCAGAATTCCTTTAATTATTCCCCTATGCCACTTTTTACCGAACAAACATACAACATTTAAGCCTACTTTTATTGCAATGGAAGGAATACGATATTTTTCACTTTCTGCTTCGTAAAACTGACTAAAAATAAAAGAAAACATAAAGGGGAGGAATCAGTGAAATTTCAATCCATTGAAATTAATTTGTCAATTTTTTTTCTAACAATATTTAGTATTTAAAATTATAATTTAAAAAATTATTAAAATATAATTATTATAAAAACTAAATTTATTAATACTTTTTCAAATAAAACTAAAAATTACCGAAAATTGAAAATTTAAACTTTTATGACAATTTCTACGATTTTTTCTTTTACAAAATTTTTAATGGAAATAGTGAAGAAATTTAATAATTTAATTTTTTTCTAAAATTCAAATTGTTTTCAATATTTTCAAAAAAAAGTCAAGAATTCAAAGGTTTTAAGGTCATCTAAATTTTTTATTGTAAACTCTTAAAAAAAACTGCTGTTTTTAATTTTTAAAAACTACTCACTGTAATTCCTTCGAGAATTTTTCAAATTTTTGCAATTTTTTTCTCAAGTGAACCCAAAAAAGAGATGGCGAATAAACATCGCAAACGACCACCTCCTCATAATAATGTGGACTTTTGCCTAATTTAAGTACACTCAAATGCCCAATTGATTCGCTAAATTTTATTACTTCATCGGGAAGTAATTTACCAACTTGATTAATATCCTGAAAATTCAACATTTTTTTTTCTTTAAAAATAAACATTAAATTATTGCCTTAAAATCTTTAAGTTATTATCAAAAAAAAAAATTTTAATTTTTATCAATTTTAATTTTTTACAATTTAAATATTATTTAAGTGAAATTTCAAATTTAAATCAGTTTTATTTATTAAAATTGTAATCGATCTAAATTTAAATTCATTCTAATTGCGTAATCAACAATCAACTCAATGTAAAATTTGAATCTTCAAATTTAAATTCCACCAAAATTTCAATTTTTAAATTTTATTCGATTCAAATTTTTTTTTCAGTTAGGGTAAATGCACTAATTACGGCGCGATTCGAATCAAAACATCTTTGAAATAGAAAATTCGACATTTCTAATATATAAAATAAATTTAAAACTTATTAAACTAAAAGCTATTTAGATATTAAAAAAAAATTTCAACTTTTTAAAAATCGATTATTTAAATAAATATGAGAAATTAAAACTAAAATTTTTTATCACGGGGCGTTTGTATCAGTTTCGGTGTATCAATTACGGTGAGCAAAATTACGTGTATTTTGAAGATACTTTGCCCGCTGTAATTGAAGCCAATGGAAATCTTAAAAATGTTCCAATTACGGCGAGGGAAAAAATTAAATCTCAAATAATTAAATTAATAATTATTTAAATGTGTATCTTTATTAGTCATTATATAAAAAAAGAAGATTAAAATAACATTTTTAAATCATTTTGCAACAGTTATATTAAATATAATAGTAATAATAATTATTTTTTATGAACGCGCAGTAATTGATGCACTTTCTCTATTGCGTTTAATTGAATTTCCAATTAAAAAAAAAAACTTTAGGTTATGTTTTTGATTTTTGAAATGAAAATACTTAAAAAGGGTTAATTCTTTATACAAACTATTCATGTTTATGTTTTTATTACTTGTAAAATATTTAATAAAATCCGTTTTCAAATTTGACTAACCAAAAAAAAATATTTTTACCGAAGTAAAACTATTACGAAACATAACCTAAAATTTTTTAAAGCTTAGGTATCTTTTATCGCAGAGCGTTATTTTTTTTTCTATTTATAAACGAAAATATTTTGAAATATAATAAAAAAACAATATTTCAAAATAATAAAATAATTTAAAAAAATCTATTTTTGATTTTGCCTAAAAATGAATTTTTATTGTGGTAAAACTATCAACTAAACATAAACTAAAATTTTTGGAAGCTAAGGCGCAACTTTTGTTGCGGAACGTTATTTTTTATTTATAAAACAAAACTTTTTTTAAAATAAAAGACAATAGAAATTTATTTTAAAGTTCAGTGAGCATTTTTTTAATACGTGTCAAAAGTTATAGAAACATTTTTGATAGAATTATTTGTTGAACGAAAATTTGAATTAGATTTTGCTTTGACATTTATGTTAGCATTTTATGAACGGGACGGCTTTGCAATTATGTATGGAAACAAAAACAACTTACCAAGTTGGGTATTACTTCTATGTCATCCAGCATAGTTTGCATTTATTTTTAAATAAATATAGAAAAATAAATAAATCTTTTTTTAACGCATAAACTTTGTTTACATAGTTCACTGACAGAAGTACGGTTCGTATCTCGATCTCGAATTACAGAGAAATATGTATATGTTGACAATACTCTAAGACCGTTTATACAATGGACTTTTTTGATTAGTAAAACGAGTAAAACGTTTGAAATATAAATTTTCACAGGGACCCAAGATCGTTTCGGTGACTTCCCAACCATGGTTAAGATTTTATTTTCGACTGCTATTTCCGGTCGCATGCTTTTACATTTCGATTGCTTTCAGTCATTATTTCTTCCAAATGTTAATAATAAACAGATAAAAAAAGAAAACAAATCTTTTGGATAGTTTTCAACTTCAAATAAAGTGTAATAATAAATACACTATTTTCAAGTGTTTATTAAACTCGTGTTTTAAGGTAACTATAAATATACTTTAAATGTTTCAAATTAAATAATTTGTAATCGAATAGTTTTTCAAAAGTGTGGGTGTAAATTTTTATTTTTAACTCTGAATTATTAAAAGTTGAATAAATCGATTAAGTTGAATTTCTTATGAGAAACAATTGTTGAATTTTAGGTTATGTTACTCGAAACGTAAATTGTCAACAAATTGTAATTTTTTTTTTGTATTAAAATTAAAATTCAACTTTTAATCAAAATTATTACAATTGTTCACACTTGAAATAAAGTAGTGAAGAAATTGTTTTCTTATTTAAAAATTCGAAAATATTACGTTTTTGACTAATTTTCGTTTCGATTCTTTTCAAATAAGAACATTCTCTGATTGTTATTTTTAAAAATATTGATTTTTGTTAATTTTTTTTTTTAATTTATGAGTGAAATTTATTAAAATTAAAAAATATCTCTTCGTTGAAGGTACGTAACTTTAAATATATAATAAAAACATTTCAGTAATTAAAAAAAAATTTTTTTATCAATTTTTTGGAGAAATTTGTAAATTTTTTAGTTTCACTTGAAACTTTTGCCATAAAATAACTTTTTATTTGAATTAAATAAATTGTATTTGAAACAATAATTTCTGTATTTCAAACAAATGCCAGTTAATTGATTCAAATAAATAATTATTTGCTATTAAATAAATATTTATTTGATATAGATAAATATTTATTAGACCTGAATAAATAATTATTTGATGATAGTCAAGTATAACTGATTATTTGAATCAAATAAATATTTTTTTCCGTGTAATTAATTCCAATTTTTTTAATATGAAATTAATTTTCAACTCATTTGTTACAAATTGTAATGTATATTTAAAATTTTTTTGTTATTTTTAAAAGTAACTAAAAATATTTATTAATTTTTAAATAAAAAAAAAAGGTGAAAATGAAAATTTTTTTTAATTTTTTTATGTTATAACAGACTTACTAATAGTAAAAAAAATTGTTTTCGTATAAATAGAAATTTAATAATTTTAATAATTTTTTATTTATTTTTATTATTATTTTATTTTTATTTTTAACCCGAAATTCTTAAAAACTTAAAATTTGATCTTCTCTCACTATTTTAATTATTTTTCATTGCCAATTTTTTTTTCTCGACTTTTTTCATGATTCCGAACAATCAATCGTATGAATTTTAAATAAAATTTCAATTTTTTAAAAAAATAAATTTTTAAAAAATGTAAAATGGTAAAAAATTATTTTACTGTTCCGTCCTCTTAAGTCCGATTAATCAAGTATTTTAAAAAAAACACGTTTCGTTTTCATAGCAATTTGAATTTAAAAAAGTTAATAATAATTAATAAAGTTAATAAATTAGATTTTAAAAATTACATGATGTGAATTTAAAATAGGAACTTAATTGATATTATAAAGATTAATCAGAAAAATCAGCAATTTATTTATACTAATCAAAATATTTGTTAAAGATTACAAATTTTTTTACAATTTTGTAACATTTAAACACTAGGAATTAGTTGCGGGAATTTTTGAAAATATTCGTTTTACGTTTCGGTCCCCCCTAAAAATTTTCTAATTCTATTTTTTTTAAAAAATAAAAATAGAAAATTTTTATAGGTTTCGGAACATAAAAATCACCCTGTATTATTAATTTCCCATCAGGAATAATCGGTTGCACATAATTTGAATTTTCCATCTCTTTGTTACAGTTTTTTATTTTTGTAAAAACAAAAATTTTGGTTATTCATGATGAATACCCGTTCGAAAAATAAGAGAAGCCAAAGTGTAACGCTAGAAAAAGAAGTACCGGCTAAAAAACCCAAAAATAAAAAATTACAACTTGATGACGCAATTAAAACCGGAAATTTGGAATTAGTGAAATTATTCTACAAGAATATGACAATCGAAGTAAAAAGAGAAAATAATCAACAACACCTAAACTCAGCAGTGGAAAACAATCATATTGAAGTTGTAAAATACTTACTTGATAATGACTTTAAAAAAGAATTATCAATTCAAGAGAATCACATTCTCATTCGTAAGTGTATTTTAAATAATCGTTTGGATATTGCGAAATGTTTCATTGACAATGATGTGGGAATTAATGAACAAAATGCCGAGACTGAAACATTGCTTCATTATTCAGCAAAATATGGTCGTTTAAATATATTGAAATATTTAATTGAATGTGGTGCTGAGATAAATATACGAACGGATTTTAATGAAACACCCCTTCATTATGCGATAAAAGCAGAACAAGTGGAAATTGTTAAAGAACTCTTAAGTCTTAAAGGCAAGGAAACAAATTATGATTTTGTATTTCAAAATTTAGCCGTTCACACAGCTGCTCAAAATGGAAATGAAGAAATTTTTCATATGCTCATTGAAGCAAGATATCCTCTTAATGATTGTCTTAAAGAAAAACATCCCATTCACGTTGCAGCTGAATTTGGTCATTGGAAATTAATAAAAATTTTAATTAAAGCCGGTGTTGATATTAATACAAAATCAAAAGATAACAATACCCCATTGTATTTTGCAGCAGTTTCGGGTAAATCAATTGTCGTGGAATTTCTTCTTGATGCTGGATCTAAGTTATCTAAATCTTACAATGAACAAATTCCAGAAATAATTGTTTCAGTTTTAAATAGAAGAGAAAGAATGAAAAGTTTAAAAGTTGAATATTTTGTTAAAATACTCAGGTCATTGATTAATTACATACCGGACGATAAATTTGATGAACAAATTTTTTCAAGTATAAATTATGCATTCCCATATAAAGCTCCTGTTAAATTACTTGATGTTCTTTTTGAATATGATATTAGTAATTTTTCTGTTTCTCATGAATGGTACAGAAGTAATTCTAAATTATTTATTGCTTTAATTGATCATGTTGATAATTTTGCAACGCTTATTGGTACATTAAATTATGTAACAGTATTAGACACCGAGCATGCTAGATTTATTAAAAGTAAAGACATTGAATCCATTGTGGCGCGAATTGCATTGTTACAATTGACCTATGAAAATACCAATTTTGATGGTTTGTTTTTTCTTCTTTTTCGTAATATGCTTGAAAAACACTATAGTGCTTGTAATAAGAAGTTAAAGATTATGCAAAGTTTAAAAATAATCGAGGGAATTAATGTGACTTATTATGATATTTTATCGAAACCTATTGATAAAGTTGCAAATTATTTTAAACACGAGAAATTAATGTTAACTTTAGAATCTTCGTTCAAAATGTTTACGGAATATATTTCATTGTTTGAGCAAAGAATTAAAATAGTTAAAGAAAGAAAAGAATTATTCAAAGCTGCTGCATTAAATTTGTTTAATCTTGTTAATGACATTCATAAAATTCAACTTCCTTCTTTAGTTATTGAAAATATTTTAAAATTTCTATCAGTTATAAATTTACGAAGATTATTGTCCGTTTGTTCTTTAATTGATTTAAAGTAAATATTTAAGCGTTTTTAAATATTCAATTTTATGTTTAACTGAGAATGAGCAGATGTTTTAAGAATCATATTTTGTGTTTTGTTGATCGTTTTATTTTATCGTTCTTTTGTTTGTCATGAGTTGTCAAAAGTTAATTACTCGTTCTGTTAATGTATTATAAAGCTTAAAAAATAGAAACAGTAAAAAAAAGTTTTAAATTTTTTCCGCATTAAAAATGTTCTATTTTTGGTACTCATATGTAAGAAATGTATTTAGGATATTTAAAATACATTTATAAAAAAATACTAAATTGATATTTCTTCTTTTTTCTTCCCTGAATACAGAACGTTTGGTTTCTTTCAGGAAAAAGTATTATTATAACAGAAAACTTAAAAAAAGATTGTAATGTATAAATATAATATTACTTTTTATGTTCTCAAATGCGATGGAATTTACAACAAAAATTCAATGATTTTTTGTACGTAACAATTCATTAGAGAAAACCTTAGTTTATCAATTAAACATTTGTTTATTTGTTAAATTGGCAAAGATATTAATCTTCACTAGCTCCTTATTCTTGAATAACTTCTGTGTGACATCACATAGTTGGAGAATTTTCATCTGGAATTAATAGACTCTCACAATCTGCATATACGATAAATGACACTCTTTCTTTGTTACTAAAGTTCTTGAATTCAATACTATTACATCCAGGTTTTGGTAACATGATTTTGGTATTATTGATTTTCTGACAATCTTGAACGTGCTCTGTAAGTTTCTCATTACTTCTAAAATAATGCAGACAGCGATCGCAAATAAAAAAAGTATATTTCGCCTCCCCAATGGAATAGCAGCATACGATGCAGCAGCAGCCGCTCCAGCCACGGCATGTCGTGACCTCTTTGACGGCGGTAGCAAACTCATCGCCTCAATGATGTTGTTGGTTGAGACGAATTTTCCAGCAATGGTCCTCAACTTGTTCTTTTCACCCTCTCGATAATATTCTCCTCAGCTAACTTCTGTGGATGAATTATTCGACCCTTTTCCGTCCAATTTGATTCTAATCCCTATTAAGCGGGATTGATTCTCCTCATGCAATGAACTCATCTTGTTCTTTTCACCCTCTCGATAATATGCTCCTCAGCTAACTTCTGTGGATGAATTATTCGACCATTTTCCGCCCAATTTGATTTTAATCCCTATTCCGCGGGATTAATTCTCCTCATGCAATGAACTTTTTTGTCATTTTCCATCCTTGGATCATTATGTTTTAATAAAAATCTTTTATCATCATAGGGACTTAGTGCTATTTAGCTTGCGGAATACCATATACATTATTCATGGGATAATCAGAAGTATCAAATTTGAAAATGTCTGCTTTCATATCAGAATAGACATCCTCACATTTGATATTATAAATAAGGCTGTCAGTTTCAGTATAAAGTAGTTTACAGTTGTTTCCATACTTTTTTCTCATATAATCATAATGAAAATCGTACATCAGAGTTTTCGAAATATCTAAAACGCTAAGACCTATATAAATCGGCTTATTCATGTACACCTCAGTCTTCCTAAGTTCCACAGCTATCAAATTTTCACTAAAGATAGCTCTCGTGTCGAAGTTTGGTTTAGCAATTAAAGCTTCTGCCCCGTACCTACCCTCCCACTTTGTCACGAGTTTTACGTTTACGTGATTACGTATATTCTCCATTGTCTTACCATACACCGCATTATTCATTAATTTAAACAAGTTTTTCTCGAATTCATTACTAGCCTATGTTCGTTGACTAGTATTGAAATCGACATTAAGCCAGCATCCTTATACTTTTTTCCAATTTTTCAAACATTTTTCTTCCACCTCTTATACAATTTTCCCCGCTTTTCCAACTGCAATAATTTAGAGTATCCATTGCAATGTTTGCCAAAAATGTAGGCTCAATTTCTTCCGCCGACTTTTTTAACTCGTTCGCAAACCATTTCGCCGGATCTTCTTCATTCTTGGGTGATGCCCTGTATTCATTTAAAGAGTCATCATAACTCTTTAGATAGAATCCGATGCTGAGAAGTTGATGTTGTTGAACTACTTCTGTGCGACATCCCATAGATGAAGAATTCTCCCCTAGAACTAGTAGACTCTCGCAATCTGCATATATGATGAATGGTACTTTTTCTTTATTACTAAACCCTGGCGGATTCGATTTACCTAAAATCGATCCAGCTGGGTCGAATCTAAGTCGAATTTAGGTAATTATCAAAAAAAAGCTTTAAATTGATGAAAATTTATAAAAATTAGTATTGTGAGGTTAAATGAACATTCATAGAGTTAATTTTTGTAAGAATTTTAATTATTAACGTGATAAATAATAAATAATTACTTGATATGTGCAAGTGGTAACTGTAGATTTTAACTCGTTGTCAGTTTTCATAATATTTTCAGAAATTAGTGTAAAATGTGTGAAAAAATAATTTATATTTAATAGAAATTGCAAATTTTATTAATTATTTTATTATTTATTGAGCACAGTTTAAAATAATTGCAATTTAATTTTAAAAAAAAGTTTTCTTAAAAGTGATAAGAACTCTACTATACCGACAGCAAGAGGATATTTTCAGGTAAGTAAAGTATTGTAGCGTGTAGTTTTGTTTTGACTACAAAATGTCGCTTTATGTTCTATAGATTAGATATAAGATAGAACAGAGATGAATATTCATGAATATTTGATCATGAGATTCGATCCGTGGATTCGATGTTCCTGTCTGATCACTATAGAACATAAAGCGACATCTTTTAGTCAAAACAAAACTACACGCTACAATAACTTTACTTACCTGAAAATATCCTCTTGCTGTCGGTATAGTAGAGTTCTTATCACTTTTAAGAAAACTTTTTTTTAAAATTAAATTGCAATTATTTTAAACTGTGCTCGATAAATAATAAAATAATTAATAAAATTTGCAATTTCTATTAAATATAAATTATTTTTTCACACATTTTACACTAATTTCTGAAAATATTATGAAAACTGACAACGAGTTAAAATCTACAGTTACCATTTGCACATATCAAGTAATTATTTATTATTTATCACGTTAATAATTAAAATTCTTACAAAAATTAACTCTATGAATGTTCATTTAACCTCACAATACTAATTTTTATAAATTTTCATCAATTTAAAGCTTTTTTTTTGATAATTACCTAAATTCGACTTAGATTCGACCCAGCTGGGTCGATTTTAGGTAAATCGAATCCGCCAGGGAAGTTCTTGAATTGAATGCTATTAGATCCGGGTTTCGGTAAGATGATTTTGGTGTTATTCATTTTCTGGCAATCCTCAACGTGCTCGGTAAGTTTATCGTTGCTTCTGAAATAGTGAAGACAACGATCGCAAATAAATAACGCATGCCCATTTGTTGAGACTTGGTTATTTATAAGACGCGATAAAAATTTTATCCAAACATAGTGATATTTGTTGGAAATTGAAGAATCTTCTTTATCATCATCCTCATCAATGTAGTGATCATCAACACGTAGAAGATTAACATGTTTCGACCGTTTCTGCGAGGTTAGATGTATTGGCGAGACGGTGAATTTCCCCTTTCGTTTAACAAGACAATAAACATTTACTGAAATATTGTTAAGCACTTCGAATCTTGCAACGTCATTGAGTGCTACGGGGAATTAAATATTTGTAAAATTTAAATGATGCTGAATATTTTCATAGTTTTGCAAACGAGATGGATTTGACGAAGCTTCATACAATGCCGATAATATTGCCCACTTGAAGCATTCATTATCCTCTTCATTTCTGACATTGACACAGGCACGTTTAGCTTTAATAGATGTCGGTAGATCAATAAAAGAACCAATACGCAAAGGATTGTATTTGTTAATATTGACATCTAATCTATGGATTGAATAGTTGCCAATTTGATTCTTTATCTTGAAAATCTTCAATTTCTTTAAGGGTTTTCTGCTTTACATAATCATTATACCAATCGCGTAACTCAGTTGAAGAGAAAATTGACTCTGACTTATTAATGAAATATTTTATATCGAATTCTGTAGTGCCGTCAGGTAAAAGTTTTTTATATTTTGCATTGAATACTGTATATACTTTCAACGCACCGAACGTGTCTAAGCAAGTTTTAATGTGATTTTCAAAAGGAACAAAGGCATCATCTAAAAAATCATTAACATCTAAGTGACTTAAATTAATGACTGTACCGATTTGTAATCAATTATTAAAAGCCGAATCAGTTAGAGCCCATTTAATTTTTTCATTTGATTGATTAAGTCCTGCACCGCGCTTCATCAGCGAATCAAAGTGGCATTTCAAGTAATTTATATGATGTAATAACGTTAAGATCCTATGTTTTTGAGGAACTGAGAAGCTATATTTTCTAAAAAATTTAATTAAAATTGCATAATTTTGTATAGACTTGTGATGCCATTGAAACGTCATGAGTCGATCGTCATCGGATTTTCTAGAGTTAGATGGCAATGATCTTTAACTCTTACTTCTCCGTGCTTGATAGTTTTCTTACAAATATGACAAATATAAGCTACTTCAAATGCGGCTTTTTGATCTGCATTTAGAGTAACTGATATGTACTAAAAACGAATTTTTATTTTTATTTATTTGTCACGTCACCGTAACATTTTTTATAAAAATAATAATAATTAATAAATAAATATTTATATAAAATAAATTCTTTTATAAATAAATATATTTGTAAATAAATAATTGTTCTTTAATAAACAAATATTTGTGGATAAACAATTGTTTATAAATAAACAAATATATTTATAAATAAACAAATATATAATATATAATCATGTCACCGTCACATTTTTTTATAATAAATAATAATTGTTGTTAATAATTAATTTTAATAAAATAAATATTCTTGTAATATTAAATTATAAATGAGCGTTTATAAATAAACAAATATTTGTAAACATATATTTGCAAGTAAACAATTGTTTATAAATAACAAATCTATTTATAAACAAAAATAATTATTATCAAAACTAAATATATAGACAGAAATAATCAATGTAATTAATATTAATCAATATGTAAAATTATTATATTTCATAAAGGTGTGATGTTCTTAATATTTAAAATTAGAAAAGACGATCTAAAAAAAGCAGGAAATCTATTATGGAGTCTCTCATACACTCTTTAAATCATTCAACATTTCAAAAAAAAAAAAAAAAAAAGAATAATAAATAATAATAATAAATAACAATTAAAATAAAACAGATAACACTCGCCTACAGAGACAAGATTATTACCAAACAATCTTCTCTTCTCTTTTTTTTATTATCTTTTTTTTGCCTTCAATCGTACACCTAAAAACAAATAAATTAACATAAAATAATTATATCAATAAATTATTTTATAATTTGGTTCTTATAAATTTTTTTTTTACTCGCATTAATTTATTCAATCTTCCATTAATTTTATATTTGCATCCCTTGAAAATAAAATTCTCATCTAGACCTTTGTTTTCATTTACAAGAATTTTTTTTATCCTATCAGCATAGTTTTTTCTTGTAGATGGGGACATTTCAACCCATCTGGATGGAAATAATATCTTCTTTTCATTATGTATGAAGAAGGGTGCCGAAAAGAGTGTTCTCCTCCCTCCTTCATATTTAACAAGTTCTCTGTCCACCTATAAAAAAATATATATAAATAAAATAATAATACTAATAACAATAATAATAATTATTATTCTTTTTCTATTAATATTAATATAAAGAAAACAATATAAAAATACTCACCAATTTTACTTCGTTGTTTTTTATAATAAAAAACTTTTTATTATAAAAATAAACACCCTTTTGATCCTTTATAATTTGATCCCCAATTTTCTGCCGTAATTCTGCCTGCTGGCCTACAGGCAATGTCGACCAAAAACTAGGACCATATATACGCTTCCCTTTTAGTTTTGTAATAAAGAAATTATTTTCTTTACTTTCCAAACACCAAACATTATTTTGCCATTTATTTACTTCATACATATGAATGGACATTTCAACCCATCTGGATGGAAATAATATCTTCTTTTCATTAAGTATGAAGAAGGGTGCCGAAAAGAGTGTTCACCTCCCTCCTTCATATTTAACAAGTTCTCTGTCCACCTATAAAAAAATATATATAAATAAAATAATAATACTAATAACAATAATAATAATTATTATTCTTTTTCTATTAATATTAATATAAAGAAAACAATATAAAAATACTCACCAATTTTACTTCGTTGTTTTTTATAATAAAAAACTTTTTATTATAAAAATAAACACCCTTTTGATCCTTTATAATTTGATCCCCAATTTTCTGCCGTAATTCTGCCTGCTGGCCTACAGGCAATGTCGACCAAAAACTAGGACCATATATACGCTTCCCTTTTAGTTTTGTAATAAAGAAATTATTTTCTTTACTTTCCAAACACCAAACATTACTTTGCCATTTATTTACTTCATACATATGAAGTAATTCATCCTCACTATCATCTAAACCATTTTCCACTTCACTGGAATAAATATTATTAAATATTATTAAATTTTCCTAATCTAATGAACTTATAATTATTCCCTAATCTTTTTCCTCAATTTAACTTAATTAAATAAATTAAGTTGGGAAGAGGTATTAAATGAATGATCTAAAAAATATTATTTATTTAATAAAATTATTTATTAATAAACAAAATATAAAAGTTTATTTAAAAGAAAATATAATGCTTTTAATTATTTAATGGTTGAGAAACAATTATCAAATATTCCTTCCTATAAGATTTGGGTTTCGACAGCTGGACCCCTCAACGTAAGATAAGATCTTCTATGTCAGATGTTAAAGGTCGCTCGTAAAAATTTATGACAGAATTTTCACTGGAACTCTGGACCGTATTTTCTGTATCTCACTAACTTATTTGACTTTTTTTTATTTGCTGAACACTTGTATTTATATATTTATATATTTATATATATATAGCACTTATGAATGATTTTTTGTAACTGGAGATACTGCTGACACTTATGTATATATATATATATATATATATATATAATAAGGTAGATTTCATAATTATTATAATGTACAAATTGTCATAAACATAACAATATTATTCCATATTCTAAGCGAACCTCAACATATTTTAAAAACTTTTTTATACAATTTATTTATTAAGAAATATTTTTAAAATATTTAGCATATTTAATAATAGATATCGTACGCATATTTATAATTATCTCTCATAGTAGCTTCACATTCTTTGTTACATTCATTGTTTTCAAAGACTAAACCTTCTCCAATTAATTCTAAATCCACTTGCCCCAAAAATTCTTCTAATTTTGGAAAAATCTTATTTTTATCAACATACAATTTTATTGTCCACGTGGCAAAGGGACTTAACATATAATCACCATTTGCAATTTTCTCATACATTAGGGATGGATAACTCGAAATTTCACCACATGTCTCTGGATAGTTAAAAGTCATAACAGTTTGATTTGTTTTAATTTCAAAGGTCTTGTTATTAAATCGATAATGAGAATCACCATGATGTGTTAAATTCACTCGAACAGTTTTCAATATCTCAAACAATTTTCTTTGTATTTCAGGATTCGTTGAAGTAAAAAGTATTCCAATTTTATTGAATTTCAAAGCATTGACACTGCTCGTTGGTGAATGTGCAACTATTGTTTCTTCTTTACCATTTAGAATGTTATTAATTGCCGATAAACTATTTTCTCTACTCCAAACAAAAAATGACCTTTGATATGAACTACAACTACCTCTATAGGGTCTTTGTGCTCTGTGTTGTAGAATTTCGTTAAAATCTTTATCCTCATTAAAGAAAGACTTAAACTTTGCGACATTACTTATTATAGCGTCTATCTCACTGTGAATATCATTTTGTATTGAGTTTTTCCATCCTATTGTCTTTAAAATATCGCCACCATTTGGAAAAGAAAATTGCTTAAAGGCAAATCTCCAATTTTTATAAATTTCATTTATTTTGTTGTACCAAATGGCCGTTTCTAGTTTTATTAATGCTCCCGTCAAGTGATGATCTTTGGCTAATATTTTACTGTACTTGGATAATTGCAGCATAGCCGTATATTTTATTTCAGATTTTCTTCTTTGGTAAGACAAAATATTGTTATGCATTTGGCATACTTTTTGAAAGGTGACTAGAATTTTTTGAAGAGTCCAATTCATTTCTTCGGGAACTTGAAAACCATCGAATGTTTTATTTAAGGTGCGTTGTACATTTTCGATAGTATTAGCAACATTCCATTCGGCAATGATAATTTGATTTTCATTTATTTCGTTTATGTTATTATATGCTTGATCTACAAAGTCTGTCACTTTTTTTAACATTGGTTCAGTATCAGCGTAAATTTTTTCTTCGATTATGTACAATTTTTTTAAATTTTCACTAGATTCTTTTAAAGCTTTGTCAATTTCTGCAACTTTATCGACATCTTTCATAATGCTTGAAACAGTGTCAGACGTAGTTTGTAATACTTCTGCATTTACTTTTAAATATTTTAAAACATTTAAACTAATTTTACAGTCATTAACTTTTGTCATGTCATTTTCCTTTGTAGCTTGATCCAAATTATTCAATATAACATTTTCTTCCGCTATGTAAATTCCCTGTCGATCGTAAGATTTGTAACTTATTAACCGTGGTTCTGAATCAGATTTTTTAAATATATTTTTTATTCTATTTCGCATGCCATTAATGACATTCTTTCCAGAATTCGACACATTTTTCATCATCTGTGAAATGTTTAATTCTAGGAGTTCTTCTTCATTTGGTTCGTCTTTTTTCAAAAAAGTTTCGGTGGCTAATGAAAGTAATTTGACCGCTTTAGGTACTTCTGCAACCTGTGCTGAGAAATTAGTTTGAGTAAGTTGCGATTCTAGAACCGACAAAGAAGAAATAGCTGCAGTTGATACCAAACCAAGTGCCGGATTAACAGCTCCCAGTAGTACACATCCAATTTTCATTAATCCAAATAAACCTTTTAATACCATTATCTTTTGTAGATTCTGTCGATTTTCAATTAGTTCTTTTTCGTTTTCTTTTGATGCTTTCTGTAATTCTGAAATCTCTTCAAGAAGAGAATTTATTTCCCCATCTAATGTATTTTCCAAGTCTGTCATTGCGTTTTTCAAATCATCTCCAATTAAAAATTTTGCTTCCTCAGTTAGATCGTCCAAGGAACTTAAAGTAGTATTAAGTGATTCAATGTCAGAGTCCATTTTTTTCTGTTTTTCCAATTCTTTAACTTCATTTAACAAATAGTTGAGTCCTTTGTGTAGTTTTGTCATTACAGAATATCCTGCCTTTTTGTTTAAAATCCTAAGTGTATCTGTAAACGTAAATATAGTTAAATAATGATTTTTGAAAATTAGATATTCTGAAAATGTAGTAATACGTACCGTTAATTCGATCCTCAATTCCAATGATAATATCCTTAAACAATCTGTTATTCTCAACTTCATAATTAGCCTTTATTGAATAATTATGAATCCGTTGTTGCAAATTTCTATATAACGGAATGAGATGATAACGCTCTTGTAAGCCAAAACGTTGAAGCTCCAATCCAGTAAATTCGTCAACTAAACTCTTGGTGTCATAGAGATTTGTTATTTCTTGTCGACTATTCAGTGAATCGTAGAAAGAAGGTAATTCACTACTGCCATTGTTTTTAGTCAATTCAGGCCTGACATATAATTTATATTCGTTTATTGTTTGGGAAATACTTTGAACAATAGGAGCAATTTTTGGCACTTGACGCATTTTCAAACTAATTCCATTAACTCCGTTTTTACCAGAATTACCGCGATTATTATCTTTTGATTCATCAAGAAAATGGTACATTGAATTTCCCAATATAGATATAGCACATATTGCTCTCTTTTTATCTCCATTTTTGCCTCCAAGTCCAGCATATCCACCAAGTCCTTTAGCACCATTTTTGCCATTACCATTATTAATTCTTACATAACTTTCGCCATCTTCCTTTGATAAATCGAACAGAATAACACTTCCTCCATTACCTCCTAATCCATATGCACCACCATTTCCACCTCTACCTCCGCTTTGTCCTTTCTGTCCATAAACAAGATACTGTTCATAAGTGTGAATTTGAACAGTTAAAGCATAAGTCACAATTGACTCTTTTAGGCGTTCAATTTTAAACCCTTCTGCAGTACGGCTAGTACAGTCAAATTTTCCCTTTTGTAAAGTATCTCCATTTTTACCCATTGCTCCATGACCACCATCTTGACCCTTTCCACCTGCTCCTCCAAATGCAAATATATTTAATTGATGTCCATTGATTATTTTATTTGCAATTCCATAAAAACTTCCAGCAGGTCCTCCTGGTAATCCAGCCCTTCCATCGGCTCCATTCTTATTACCAGTTGTATTTCCATTCCTTGCATAATCCTCTTTCAAATTATCACCATTTTTTCCATTTAATTTAATTACCGTTCTCCCAATCACCTCCCAAATTGGAGCAATAATTGCCACTTGTATCTCCTTACCACTCAAATCTAAATTATCGTTTACAATAACCTTTTCCACTGCAAATATTTCTATAAATCTCGTTTTTCTTCCACATTGTTCAGTGTCAATTTCACTCAGTCTGATAATTTTACCTCTCACTTGCAATTTTCTCCCTTCCCGTATCACTATACAATTTGTTTCAAAATTTCTCGAATAAAAATACCCTCCCTCTTCTTTTTGATACCATTTCACCAATTTTTCCGGATTTTCTAATTTAAAATTCTTTAAAGGTTTTGTCCATTCTTCTAGAGCAGAATTAAATGTATCTGATGTCATATAGAGAAATTGAATAACATCAATGTTTTGTGGCAAAAAATATGTCTCTTTAAAAGTTTCTTCGAATATTGTATATTCAAATGTATTTTCCATATTTTGGAGAAAACTTCTTGGAGTTTTGGCACTACTCATTAATTGTGCAAATCGTAATAGATAATTGTAACTTTTCGCTATATTCGTCGACGCTTCGTCAGTATTATTGTTTCCATTTTCAGTAAGAGTATCAAAATAGATTTTCAATCGTTTCTCCGCAAAATTTTTTACATCAATGATTACTTTATTTTTTACATAATCTGTAGCGCAATTTATTATTATTTGAAAATGCATATCAAGATTAAATTGAAAATTACTAGAATCCTCATTTCTGCTGGAATAAAAAATATTTTGAATAAAGGTAGCAACGTTTAGATTATTTGATGATTGTTTATTAAAAATAGCAATTGGTGGTCCATTCTCATTTAAGTAACGACCAACAAATTCGATAAGCTCCGGTCTGTTTAGTTTTTCAACAGCGTTGTTTAATTTTGCGACAATATTTACTTTTTGTACATCAGTATTTAGTGTCAATGCAATACCAACGCTATTGTAAATATCTGAAATATCCTTAAAAATACTGACAAATTCTTGGAAAATTTTAGTAGCTTTTTCAATATTATCAGAGTGAATAATGAATTTTACATATACAGCTGATTCTAGAAATAAAACATTCTTATAAATGTCCGTAATATTAGTTTTAAATGTCTCATGCAAAGGAAGGAAAATTGCATTCTTCATAGAAAGTTCATTTTTTAATGGTGGATAAATATTTTCTGTATCTGTTAATACTATCAGTACTTTTTCAACAGGTGATTTAAATTTTTCAACATTTTTCAAATTTTCGAGAAATTTTATATTTCCCTCATCATTGCAACGTATTTTCTAAAATTAAAAAATTTTTTTAGTTATTTACAATTTTTTGAAACTTAATAATTAAATTACTTACATTAGCAGATAGTTCGTAATTTTCATATAAATTTTTCGCTAAATTCAATGAAATTAAAGCAACGAAAAGGAGAGAAATAAATATCTTTCTCCAAATATCCATAATTAAGAAAAAATTTTTTTACTGTTTTAGAATATAATTTTCCAACGATAAATGCAAAATAATATTTAGATCAAAAATTATTACGGTATATATAAGTAATTAATTAATTAATTAATTCATTATTTTTACGTCTTTTTCTCTATTCAAATAGTAATTATAATAAATTAAAAAATTGTCTAGACATTTCCCTAAAATACATATAAAAATATATCTATTAACAATAGAGAAATTTTGTTAGCGTAAGTTCTGACGCAAGTAGAGTGTTGATTTTAATTTATTAAAATATTATAACTTGTAAATTGTCAACAGAGTAGATACAAAATATGCATATAATGAAGACAAATTTTACAATTATAGATGTATACAAATATTGAACCATAAAATTTTATAGGAAATGAAAAAAAATGTATAAATATCAATTATTTTAACAGATGTTGATTATGTTAATAGAGAATTACATTTTAAAAATTTTATTACTATAGGAAGCGGAATATTATTTGTATTTGAATATTTTAACATGATGCAATGTTGTTTTTAGAGACTCGCATATTCGGATATTCTATTTGAATAACAATATTATTTATAATAAAACTATAATTAGTTATTAACTGCGCTATTGAAATGGCGATGTAACGGAAATTAGCATACAAGAAAATTTTTCCATTTGAATTAAATTCCGCATTTTGATATAAAAAAAACATTTTTCTATCATAATTAAAACATGTCAAGAAGAATAAGAAAATTAAAAATGAAGATGAATAAAATAAATTTAAAATTAATTTTAACAGGAAAAATTAAAAATAAATATTTTAAATCAATTTTGTATACGCTGAGCATTTGTAAAATATTTAAAAATATTATGCCATATTAATTTGATGTTTATTTTTCAGTCCTGCAAAATAAAACATAAGTAATAATGTTAATACAATGTTCTAATTTTTTAATAATAAAAAAATTCATATGAATGTTATTAGCAATATCATTATATTCATAATAAATTTAAATTAAAAATTAATATTAAATCACAATCTATTTTTTCATTGAGTAGAATTAATATTTTAATGGATTAATCAAAGTAGATCCTTTATCAAATTCGTTATTCCGTACCTGGAGTAGATGGTACATTGAAGCTGATGTTTGAGGTTCATCATACAATATTTCTTGCATTTATGTCATTCATACCTTTCATTTCTTCTGCGTTTTTCCGCAATGCAGGTTGACAACATGTGCAAAAAACAATTTTTAAAAATTTGTTGCGAATTAAAAATTTTTTAAATTTTAATCTATGAATTTTGTTCTCTTACAATTTTGATTTTAGCTTGATATTTGTGAAGGTCGCTTTTTAAATATAATTTCTTCATTTTAATTTTCTGCCAGATTCGCTTCATATTAATTATCTTTAAAAAAACAATGAAGATTGCCTATCATCGGGACGTGATATTCCGTAGTTAGTCTCATGAGTTGATTTTTCAACTTTTTCCATTCCATCAAATCCATGATTGATTTTCTTCAAAAGTAAAGAGAAAAAATTTATTCAATCAATTAACAATAGCTAATTTTCGTTTCAGCATCCGAGTCGTAATTTTCATCCATAATGAATGGGTATCTTGGATCATAATAAATAGGAACACCTACTAAGTCTGGATGATATTTGTGAGCGTTCCTCTTTATTTCGATCGTGCACCTTTCACATTCATTTGCACGTCTTTTTATATAATATAATTGAATTTGGCAAAAATTACATAGTAAATTTTCAATTTTATTAGACGGAAAATGTGTTATATAAAATTCTTCGTATAAATTTGTATTTTCGCAATTATTTAAACAATCTTCGCATGATAGCTTGTCCCCTCTTTTATAAATTATACGGTATTGGTATATAATACAGCAATAAAATAAGGACAATATGTGTTTAACTATTACAGCTTCTTTTTGATATGTGTTCTATTGAACTTCTTTCTGTTGCTAATTGATTGGTAGCATCTGAAGAGAACAAAAGAACCAGTGTAAAGTAATTTACAATTATCACCATACTTGATTCGCATATAATTATAATGAAAATCATATATCAATGTCTTTGATATGTCTAAGACGCTAAGTCCAATATAGATTGGCTTATTCATAAACACTTCACTTTTTGTAAGTTCCGCAGAAATAATGTTTTCATTAAAGATAGCTCTTGTGTGAAAGTTAGGTTTCTATATAAGAGCCTCAGTGCTATGAATCATTTAAGGAACTGTAAAATTTCTCTATTGGCGGACTTGTTCCTCATCAAGTTTTAATTTACAATCCAAGTACTCATATAGAAAAATTCCTTTACAGGTTAGTAACTGAATTTTATCCATATCATAGGCTTGAAATTCTGAATTTACAATATTATAACTTGTCAGATAAGAAGCTAATTTATCCAAAGATGATGCCATCAATCTGAAGGAATCTATAAATTTAAATTTGATATCATTTTTTTGAACATGTTTTATAAAACTTATGTACTTTTCTTTATTTATTGGAAGAAGACTAATATTACCTTCAAACTCAGTCGCGATAGCTTTTATAATGAAATGAGCATCATAACAACTCAAGTTATGAAAAACCACAGGAATAGTTTTTGAAACCTGATATTTAAGATTGCAATCTTAATATTGCGACTCCTCTTCATTTACTTGTTATATGACAATGATTTCTAACCTTACCAGCCCCATCCGTGATATTTTTTCTACAGATGTGACAAACGTTAGCACTTCTAAATGCCGCTTTTTGAGTTGCATTTGAGTACTGTTCATTACTACTTTTGTTTTGTGTTTCAAAAATATTAAAAAGATGAATGACACTAAAGTACGTGTCTTTAAAAACTGCACTCAACATCCTCTCCAACCTGTTTCAATTCACGAGCAAACCACTTTGCTGCATCTTCATTAATAGGGGATGCTTTGTATACTCATAAAGTGTCATCATAACACTTTAAATAGTAGCCAAAGCTTAGAAGTTTATGGTTTTAAAAAACTTTTGTAATATCCCCTATGGATGAAGAATCAGTTACAGGAAGCAGTAAGCATATATGATAAACAAAGCACGCTCCTTATTATAAAAATTCTTAAATTGGACCCTTTTTTGTCCTGACTTTGGTAAAATAGTTTTTGTTTTATTTAATTTTATACAATTTTCTGTATGGTTATTAAGTTTCTCTTCATTTTCAAAATAATGCAAACAACGCTCACAAAAATGCTTCTTATATGTAGACTGTGATAATTTTTTACTTACAATCCTGGATAAATTTTTTATCCAAACAAAATGATAATTGAAAGAGGTGGTAGTGTTTGATTTTTCAGCACAATCTTCCTCGTCACATTCATCTAAATAATCTTTCTCAATGCGACAAGATTTACATGTGAAACTTCCTAACTAGATGAGAGATATAATTACATTCAATTTTGATTTATGATTTTGCAAACCATAAACATTTACTAAAACATCATTTTGAGATTAAAATTGTCGGATGTCCTTAAATGTTACAGGAAATATAATACCTGTAAAATTTAAAGTATCTTTGGAAGACAATTTAGACAAATGTCTGGAGTTGAAGGACGATCAGAGAATGGTAATTACACTAATAATAACACTATAAAATAACACTAATAATAATAACACTACCTTTTTTTCCTTCTTTACCTTCATTACCTCCGTTTCCACCAATCTGTCCAGGCTTTCCCTTTATTTCATAAATCTCTCGGTGGGAAAAACTTGGTGCTCCCAATGTTTAATTATCATGAGCTTTCTGATAATCTTTTCCGATTCGCTTACATTCCCAGTTGGTCAAATTTGATGAACATTCTAATTGCGGTATGTCCTAAGTTCTCCCATCGGCGCCATTAGCCCCGTCTCCGCCATGTTGTCCATTTCCACCTCTTCCTCAATTTGCTAAAATAGTTCAACAACTATAAAATGTAAATGTACTTACCACCACCAAACGATTATTCTTTATAGAATAATATGTTCCTCTCACATAATAAACTCCTAATGATCCTTGGTGGTTATACTCCGCCACCAGTTCCGTCCTCCTATCGATGGATTTTAAATGAGTAGGTAATTCCACCTTCACATCATTGAATTCAATGTATTGGTTCTGTTTCTTTTTTGACAAATCATCTTCTTCATTATTTCTCCTCTTAACTCCCACGGACATTATCGTCAACTTTTGAAGAATGTAATAAATTAATGGCTCTTTGTACAGAATATAAATTAGAAAAACCTGTATATAAATTTTCTTCGCAAAATAAAAAACAATGCTCTATTTCAGTTCAAGTACATGATAAAATAGAAAATGGTTTTATAGATGACTTTTCTGTTGGCCAAACTCTTGTTGCCAATAAAATGATTAGAAAAATATTATTTATTCCAAACTATTTTCAAATGAAAAACAAAAAACCAAAAGAAAAAGTAATTCTTAATATTCCTCAAACTAAAAGACGAAAAAATTCAAAAACCTCTCCTATTCTTAAAGACCCAACTGCAAATAAATTGTCACCTTTATCCTCAATTTCCAGAATTATAAGTCAAATACCATCAGTATCCTCAATTTCCAAATTTATTAATACTCTCTCACATGAACCTCCTAATTCAAAAATTCGTCAAAGTAATACGAAAAAAATCAAGAGTCTGGTCATCTGTAAAAGATGTACTCATTGTGGTTATCATATTAAAAAATAAAAAATATATAATTATCTGTAATAAATCAAGATGACTCGAATTTTATATTGAACAACTGGAGTATTTTCTTAAGCATACATTTTAATTTTTAGATATAATAAAAAGAGACATTAAATAATTGATAATAATATAGAGATATTTCTGTTTCAGGTGATTAAAATATATTATGGACATTCATTATATTAATATTTGCTATTTTTCTTCCAGGATATATTTTAACATTATAAAATTTACTTTTTTTTTCTTTTAAAAAATCGAGATTGAAATTTTTTTTTCCAAATTCAAAATATTCGAAAATTAAAAAAAGTACTGCCAGATTAAAACATAAATATCTCG